TGGGGATTACTACTTTTCTATTTGTTACCTTTTTAGGTACATATGACTTGTGTAGTTACCAATTGAAGTTTTGCCTTCCAAAATATTGAATAGCAAACGACGCATAATAAACGAGTTTAGACCGTCCTTTTTATAGAGATGGGGATCCAATTTTTTATTTTATTTTTTGTCAATACATCTATCATTGATAAATTAAAAAATATATTTTTGATGAATTTTGTTTTATTTCTTCCGGTAACACTGACCTCAGTTCTCGTTTCTATATTTTTTTTTTGCCGGCAAAACATTTTATTAAGAAACAACTTGCAGATTACATAGTGTCAAGGCCGTGCCTACTCTATAAAAAAAAGGCAACCGCCTAGAACTCCCCTTCACATCCATAATTTTAGGGCCCCAAATTTTATATAATTAATTTCATTGATAAAAAATAGTAAGTACGTTTTTTAGTTTAGTTTTATTGTTTAAAAATAATATCCTACAAATTGCATTTGGTTAATGAGTTTTATCATAATTTTAGATTTTATCATTATAAGTTTTCTGTTTATATATTTTTTAAACCCATTTGATATCATTTTTGCATTGTATATGAATGTCTATCTTTATAAATGCAATTAATATACTTTAATTAAAAAAGTTAAGGAATATATGCACACAATATCAATAAATATCTTTTTATTATCAAATTTTTTATTTCATTTTTGATTTAGTAAACTATTTTGTTTTCACAAAAGAAAATATGAAACATATGTTAGTCACGTCAAAACTATCAAATATAACTTCTCGCTATACTGAATATATTCTTTAAAGAATTTTTTTATATTTTATATGATAAAATATTATATTTATTAAAAAAAATATATTTTAAAATATCGTCTTGGGTCCTGTAAAGCTAGGCACGGCACTGCATAGTGTTCCAAGATATATAGGATATACGTCTAGACCTAGCTAATTCATCCACTTCTTGTACAACCATACGCTTAACATGAAGAAAGAAGAAAGCATTATTTGAAGCCAAAGAAGTTATATCCTTCACAATTTTAGCTATTTGTATCACACACCAGATTTTCTTCTTCCTTGCTTGTTGGACTCTTTGAATGCTATCGAAGAGGGTTTTATTATCTCCCACAAAGATAACATTATCATAGCCCAACTTCTTTACTTCCTTTACTGCCATTAGCAACGCCAATACTTCTGCTTCCAATGGGGTTGAGGTTGGCTCAATGGATGCTTTGCCATGAAGAATTTTCTTCCCGTTCCTCCAATAAAGCGCCCATGCAATTCCCACAACATCCTTGTCCGATATCCAAGAAGCATCCACTATACAACAATACTCATTAGTAACTATTAGGACTTCTTGAAAGCTATTAGAAGCACAAGTATTGTTGTTAACGTCTTCCTCAATACAAGCATCTTTATTTCTATTTTGTGCTTCCTTCCACATCTTAGCTTCTGTTAAAGCTTTGTTAATGACTAGAGGAAGTGTATCTATATTTTAAAACTATAAAACCTATCGTTTTGTAAACAAAATTTCAACTTAACCATTTCTTTTAATCCGATCTAAAATTTTTTTGTTACGGATTTTATATGGTTTCGATTATCAGAAAACAACTATATTGGACAATGGATATTCTCTTACTTTCTAAGTTAACTAATATTTGTATGGATCCATTAGGGCAAATGATATTGTCATCTCTACAAGATTTTTGAAGACGAGGGTTTGGTTTCCTCTCTTTGCAAAAATTGAGATAAAATCTAGGGTTAAGCTGGTTACTAACAAAAAAAAATTAAACACAATAATTAACCAAAACCCCTAAGATTAGTGGCTATGATTTTACCACATAAGAGGATTGTGGTTAGTTATTAAATGGTATTTTTTTTTTTAACATCTGATTCATTCATTGATAGAGATTCAAATACAAGAGTTGTTACATCCATATTACAACAAAGTTATACAAACTTTTCGTAACACAAACAAAAGCATGATTAATTAGAACTATGAACGATGAAGAAGTGATTTACCCGACGCTTTCGAAACGGAAACCTTATTTACTAACGAATGAACAAATCCGTTATTTTCCTTTTCAAGAATCAATCCCAATATATTTTCGTTCTTGGCTATCATCTCTTGGATGAAACTCCAAAATTGTCTAATTTTGTCTACATATGCTTTTGCACCTATTCGTCGCTTCTTATCTTGCGCTGATTCATATCTTCTTTGGATACATAGTATTCCCGAATCCCAAATTCGTCGAGTAAAGCACCATACTATCCAAGTTTCAAAGACATTAGAAACCCACTAATGTCTTGAAAAGGTTTCATCGTTGAGGCTCACAATACCCTCAACGGAGATAGACAATGCATTTGTGAAACTGCCGTTGATCCGCTTTACTCCGGCATTAGTATCAGAATATACTGTCCTCAAACATAAACACCATCATCCCCGAACACCCATCCCTTATGCCGAACAACAAACCCAATACACCCATCAACAAAGCGAACATAAGGGCTACAGCAACGACTGCAAGGAGCTCTGTCCTCGCGAAAACTTGGGTGGAGAATAGTCGACACACTGGAACTTTTTGGGAAACCAACTTCATCACCAATTTCTTCAAAAGCAATAAAAGATGTTGGAATTAAAGTTAAAATAACTATTGAACGAACAAACAAAAAGGAGGTAGGATACGTCAGATCAAAATTTTTTTAGAAAACGGCTAAGATCGGGGGAAGAGTCGCCTCTTTAAAGAGTTGAGAAAAATCGCCTACGTTATGGTGTATTTCTACCTCTTTTTTTTTTTAATTGCCAGTTTCCCTAAAATCTAATGTGTTTCATCGACCCCGGAAAAACAAATTTTTCGAATTCCAACTAATATAAAATGAAGGTGTTATTCATTTGCATATTTTATTTTAAATCTTATAGGATTAAGAAATATTTATAAGTCCGTATTTATTTTTTTATGTTTGACTTAGAAATCTTTTCAAATTCATCAAAAATTTATTACAAATTCAAATCCATATGTAGATTTTTATCATTAAATAACACATAATTTTAGGAGAATTTTTGAGAAATGCTATTTTTGAAATGCCACTTTTTCAAAATCATTTACTCAATAATCATTTATGTTTGAGTTAGTTATGTTATAAATATAATAGAGTTTAGTTTTGAGGGTTTAAGGTTTGTTAGGGGTCCAAACCTTTTTTAGAATTTAAAATTTGAAATTTAGGATTTAAAAATCTTTAATTAGTGACATTTTTTAAAATAGACAACTCATAATAATATTCTAAAAATTAGATATACGAAAAGTAATATTTTTGCAATTGTCCATAATTTTAACTATGATTCTTTAGACATTATTTGGGAAGTGATTTTTAAGAAAGAGCTTATGTTTCTTCTCTAAAATCACTTCCAAATTTTATTGTCACATGACATTCTATCAAATGTGACATGACAAAATGTCTCGCTAATTAAGTCCACTAAAGCTTATTTAGATTAGCCCACAATCAATAATGTTTAGATTCAATTATTTGGCCACATTGTTTAAATTATTCGACCACATTTTTTTTTAGAATACTTAGTCCACTAATCAAAATTATACCTAGCCTCCTCAACCATATACAAATGAGAGCTGATAATAACACCCAATAAAATTTATATCAATTGGCTACATTTATATCGAACTGGTTTTCTTAAAAATAGTTTTGGGAGATGAGTATAATATTCACGATTAAACTAAAATCATATATATTATTTGGGGAGTGATTCTTCAAAAAAAAAACTTACGTGTTAGTCAGATTGATTCTCCCAAAATTATACATATGATAACTAGCCTCCATTATTGT